ATACCTAGACATGGGAATTCTATTTGGGTACTTCCAGAAGAAACTGGAAACAAGTCAAAAAGAAATTTTAGGGAGGCATCTCAAAATTGAACCAGACCTGTATAAATGCAAGCTGGGGTTTTGGGCCATGGGTTATTCGTGTATATTTCTTTTTTCCCTTACCAAATTATAAGCTTTTTAAGGACAAGAACTATGGGCTAATTGCCCCCACTGTCATCTCCTCTTTCTATATAATTTTCAATCTCTCCTTATCTATTGATTTATAAGGGTGGTAAACTGCAGGTCATCTGATTTGCTCTGGTTAGAGTATACCTACCCATACCCCTCATGGGAAATCAGAAAGACAGAGAGAAGGTGGGAGGGAGAAGGAAGAGAGAGAGGGGGAAGGAGGGAGAGCAAATGAGCATGTACATAGGAGTTAAGGACCTGTCTCTTTTCAAACTGACACAGTGCCCTGCCCCCCACAGTCATGGGAGTAGGGGCAGGGACTACTCAAGGTTTGCAGGGTCATCCCAAAGTGCCAAGTCCTTCGGACCTGAAAACATGTGAGCATCTGTTTCCCTGGGAGTGGCTAAGACACAGGCTCAGCATTCTATGGGTATGTTCAAGCCAGAGCAAACCACTGAGAGCTTACTGTTTAGCCAGTCTCCCTGTCCTTAAAAAAAAAAAAACCCTCAGGAGATCCCACCATCCCTGATAGTCCTATATCTATTCTGCATTCCTCAGCTAAACTTGCAAAAGCTGTCTACTCTTAATGTATCTACTTCCCATCCTCTCACTCTCTTCAAAATGCTTTGAAATCTAGTTTCCAGCCTCATCTTTCAACTGTAGCTGTTCTTTCCCAAATGATCCCTTAATGGACATATCCAATGGCCTTTTCTCAATCATGTCCTTCTTGACCTCTCTGTAACGTTTGGTAGTATTGATGGCCATCTCCTCCTGGATATTGTTCTCCCCTAGCTCTTCTTCTATCTATCTGACCATGTCTTCTCATTTTCTTTTGCTGAGCTCTTCGTGTCATGTGCACTAACTGTGGGTTTCCCCCAAGCCTCTGTCTTGGGTCCCCTCTCTTTACTCTCTATAATGTTGATCTCATCAGCTCCCATTGGTTAAATTATTATCTCTAAGCAGATAAATCTTAAATCTATATATTCAGCCCTAATTTCTCTCCCATATCACCAACTGCCTATTGAATATTTCAAGCTGTATGGCCCTTAAGCATCTCAAACTTAGCATGTCTGAAATAGACCTCTTCATGTTCTTTCTTCAAACCTACCCCTCTTCCAGACTTTCCCTATTACTGTAAAGGACATCCCTATCCTTCCAGTCACCTTGGTTAATAGCCTGCATGTCATGGTTAATTCTTACTGTTGCTCATGCCACATACAAAAGCAGTTGCAAAGTCATGTCTTTCATATTTCCACATCTCTGACACCTCCCCTTCTCTGCTCTCCTGTTTCCCATCCTCATTCAGGCTCTCCCTCCTCACCTCTTCAATAGCCCCATAGGTGCCCCTGCCTCATTTCTATCCTTCTTCCAATCCTTTGCATAGTCACCAAAGTGATGACTGTATCAGGTCTGACCATGGCACTACCCTATTAAGTAAATGCCAGTGGCTCACTACTGCTTCAATGATTAAATAGTTGTAGCAAATATATCTAGTGCCTGGGACTACTTCCTCAACTCTCACTTTCACTGGGTCTTAGAGGGCAACTGGCTACTACCCCCTGGGTTCTAGAGTTAACCCTGAGCAGTTGGGTTTCTAGTACTGTCTCTCACAAGTCCCCATAGGCATACTTCTCATTGGTTATCAGATTTAATTTGCTTTTAGGAAAGTTATTTCAAAGCAGATATAGTAAGGACAGTTGTTATAAAAAAAACAGTTTCATCCAATTTGGGGGTACACTCTTTTTTGCAAACATAAAATCACTGGGGTGAGTGGCCTCAAATTAAAAGCACAAAGCTCATGGGACATGTGCAGATAGTCAAGAGCTTTGGGAAAGCTCTGTGTCCTTTGTGAGACCTCAAGAACTTCCCCAGATGTAGTTCTCCTGGGCTCCAAGGACCATTGTCTTTATAGATTCCATAGCCTGAAATCCTCTGCCTGCCCTTTGAGAGGGGGAGGGGAATCTCACTCTGCAGCTGCCTTTCCTTAATATCTGATATCTGATGTGGCAACACAGCAGATGCTGTCAGGCTGCTGCTCCAGGGACTATTGGCTATTGGCTAATAGATTGGCTCTGGTGAACACTGCTGCTCGGATCTTCTGACCTTTGAAATTCACAAGGGTATCACCTGGTCAAGGGAAGGTGTTGGGGGGAGGGAGGGAGAGAGACAGAGAAAGAGGCAGACAGGGACACTGAGAGACAGAGATGGAGCGAGAGACAGAGTTAGAGAAGGAGGAGAAGAGAGACTGAGAGAGACAGAGACAGAGACCCAGAGACAGAGAAGAGTCAGAGAAAAGAGAGAGGAGAAGAGAAAGGGGAAAAGAGATACACAAAGAGGAGAGACAGAGAAAGGAAGAGAGAGAGAGAAAGGCAGAAACAGAGAAAGAGAAGACTGAGAGAAAGGGGAGGGAGGAATGGTGCTTCTCCCACCCCCGTTCCTGACACCTCAAGCACTGCTTCCTTCAAAGCCTTTCACTGGTGGATTTTTCCCCCTACAGTTCTACTGATTAGCTCCAAACTAGATTGCTATTTTTATAAAATAGCTGCATAGGACATGACTAATTCTTTTTAACCAATCACAAGATATTTTCTCTGTGGAGTCATCTGCTATCATTCAATGACCTAAAACCGCTGTGATCCTTTCAAATTGATTAAGTACTTTATTTATACCTAGTTAATTTTTTAATGGTAACCAAGATGGTTAAGCCTTCAATGATTAATTTGGGACAAGGGGTAAGCCTCTACCCCTACTTATAAACTCCTCTCTGTAGCAATTAAAGTTCATCACAATCTCTCTCTTTCCTGTCTTTACAGTCTTCCACATTGTACTTCTTCATGCACTCTTCCATTTAGCCACAGTGGCCCATCTCCCACCTCTGTGCCTTTGTACTGATTACTTCCCATACCTGAAATGCTGTCTATCACCCCCCCACACACACACACCTCTTAGATGCCCTGCTTCCTACAAGATTCCATTTCTTCAGGAAGACTCTTAGTACGCCCAGCTGCTAGAGTCTTCCCCTTCCATCTCTTCTGTATCTTGTATATACTTACTCATATACATGTTTTCTTTCCCATTAAAATGTAAGCACCCTGAGGATGGGGACATTTTTATTTTTTCTTTCTATTCTTTGTACTTAGCAGAGTAAGCACTTAAGAAATTCTTGTAAATTGGCTAATATTTGTATCTTTGTATTTCCTTTAGATGCTAAACTTTGTACGGAGCAAATTCTAAATGATGTTGTTGAATTGTTCTATGTCCAGATGGTCAGCTCTGTTCTTTCCTTTGAAACTAGCTATTTTTACAGCCAGCATTGGGTCAGTAGGCTTTCCCCTTTTAGAAGAAAGTAACCTCACCGACATCTGGGAGTAAATGTTCCTGGAAGATGTCTGTTACAGTCATATGATCATAGGATTCAGTACTTAGAAGGACCTTAGAGACCATCCAAGATGAGGAAACTGAGGCCCAGATAGAAAATTACTTTTCCAAGATGACATACTTAGTAGAAATGAGATTCAAACCTGTCTTGTGACTCTGCCATCTTTTACAAATTCTGCTGGTCAAGCATCAAAGGCTCCCCTTTACCTTCAGGCTAAAATACAAATTCCTGTGTTTGACCTTTAAAATTCCCACTTTCTCTATTTTTTCAGACTTAATAGTGGTTACTCCGCTTCATATACTTTATACTCCAGCCAAACTGGGCTTTCTGTTCTTCATACCCAACATTCCATCTTTTGCAGCTGGGGCTTTGCACAGGCTGTCTCCCATGCCTGGAACTCTTCCCCCCCTCTGCCTCATGGAAACCCCTAACTCCTATTAAGGCTCAGCTTAAGTGTCCCTTCCTTCAAGAGGGATTTCCTGGTTCCCCCAAGCCATTCATCTGCCTTCCTGCTTCACTGTATCTATATATCTCGTGTTTTATATCTTGCATATGTATGTACATGTATATACATACATATGTGTGCATATGTGGGATCCCTCTAGAATGTAAGCTCCTTGAGGTCAGGGATTGTCTCACTTTTGTTTCTATATCATCAGTGCCTAGCATGGTGACTGGCACATACATAATTGCTTAATAAATGCTCATAGGTTGTTAACTGACGGCTGCCTTCCACTTTATGTACCTGTCTTGATAAATCTGTTCCCATGACACCTTGGGCTACCCCAAGTGATTGAGGCATCATTAATTAGCCATGACATTGGCAAAAATGCAACAAAAATGTTCTTGAACTGAACAAATGGAAAAGGAAAAAGGAAGCTTAGACTTAAGCTATTGAAGCTGTTTACACCAGGAAACACTATGCCTCAAAACCTACCCTCCTGCACTTTGGTTCTTCTACCCAAATGAAAGGCCATATCCTATAGAAAGCCTTTTATTATCCCCACAGTCAGTATTGCTTTTTTCCCTACACAGACTCCACCTAAAGCTTTTTTTTCACCTCTCAAGCCTGTGTTAGTTTATAAGATAATCATTTTCACATGTCGTTGTCTTATATGACTATAAACTCCATGAGTTACTTTTCTATCTCACCCAATCCCTAGCATAGGGCTCCTCTGCACACAATTGGGAGTTTAAAAAAATTATTGAACTGAAATAAATCAAACACTCACACCTGTCCCGGTGCCCGTCCCCTGATGCCATCACCGCCTCTGCTCTCAGCATCCTGTTAACATTGCTAATCTGTGCTCTCTCCGAACCGCTTTTCTGAATCTGTCCCAGGTCTCGGACCCTCCTCCTGTGCTTAACCCTGTGTGGGTCGGTGCTCTCCTCCCTCGGGGTTCCCGTGCCTTTCTCCCCAGTGCTTATGCTGCGGGGACCCCAAGACGCTAACCTCGTGGCGAGAACCTCCCCGTCCACCGCGCGGTTGGGACTGTCGGTAGAAGCCGTGGGAACAGACCGCTTTGAGCTCGCCCGCTCCGGCCCCTTGGCGGCTCTCGGACTGGTCTTGCCCTGCTCGGCCAAGCCGGACTCCTTCGCCAGGGGTCAGGCCAGCGAGAGCCTGAGGTCCAGCGAGCGCGGGGCGGGGTACATTTGCGTGTGCGTGAGTGTGTGTGACCTATGTAGGGGTGTGTGTGTGTGTGTGTGTGTGTGTAGGGGTGCGTGTGTGTGTGTGTGTGTGTGTGTGTGTGTGTGTGTGTGTGTGTGTGTGTGTGTGTGTGTGTGTGTGTGTGTCCAGGGAGGGGAAAGCTCCGCCTCTCAGGGCTGTGGGGCCGCCCAATAAAGAGAACTGCTGCCGGACCAGCCGCTCGCACCTTGCACTACCCTCGGTTCCGCTCCCACTCCTGCTCTCGGGTGTTCTCCTTCTCCGGGCAGGGCTGCCCCGAGCCCCTTTGCGCCCAGCGTGCCAGTTTGTCAGTCCGTCAGTCCATCTACCTGCCTGCCAGCCCTGGCCTGATACAGAGCCGGGAGTAGCAGGTGAGGCTCAGAGCCACAAGGGGATGTCAGAGATTATGTCAATGCCATCAGGCTGGAACGGGCGCTGAGCCGGCATCGGCACCCGCACCGCCGTCACTGGACTCGGGAGCTGTCAGCGAGGGCAGGTGGTTGCTGTCAGCGACTGTCACTGCCCCCGGCTGGAAGCAGCGCATTTCGGAGAACCCTCAGTGTCCGACTGCAGGATGGCGCTCAGGGCGAGGGGGATGCACCCTAGGCTCAGTTTCCCGGCCTGGGGACTTTTGTTTTTGGCCCTTTGGATGCTACCTCGGGTCCTGGGGACTGAAGAGAACTTAGAGCACGATAACCACGGAAATGAGGGCTTCTGGGTTATCAGTTTCAAATGGGATCACGTCCAGGACCCCTACATCATCGCACTCTGGATTCTCGTGGCTAGCTTGGCCAAGATAGGTGAGTGAGCAAACCCGCCTAAGCAGACCCGTCCGGCGACTTGGAGAGCAGGCGGCTCCTGACCCAGATTCTGATGATCCTCTTCCCGGGGTTTGAGGAGTGGCAGTGGTATTAGGGACTGGGAGTGATCAGGGCCATTTATTTGCTTTTTTATTTGTTGTCTCATGTGGTCAACATGGTCTTATGTTCCTTGCCCCTGGACACAGCATTGCTGTGTCCTTCTGACAGTTGTAGTTCGAATCTTTAATCCAAATTAATGAGCTATCTTATCACAAGCCTGTTTTTCTAAATCTGATCCTATTTCTTTTTCATGTCAAATACCTTAGTATTTTCTAAAGCAAGTATTTTTGTTCTATAATGATTTTGCTCTTGTCCATCCATGATATTCATGTAGCTAATGACTTTTCTGGGAAAATGTTCCAGAAATTTTTTTATGGTATGTCGTTTTGTGACACTTTCTCCTCTTCCTCCCCCATAATTTGACACTACCTAGAACTTTATGGGAAAATGCATCTGAAGGTGATAGGGATTACACTCTATGGGTAAGTGGTTAGGGAAATTTTGCACATATATAATATATTAGTTAACATATATTAACTAATATGCATATATAGTATTAGCATTATATAGAGCCACTATTTGGTATCCTCAACATTTCCTGGTTCTGGTGACATTTTACCTTTTGTAAAAATTTCTGTCTGGTTTAACAATTATTATAGGATCTGGTATATCTCGAATTTAATACACACATACATAAGCAGCCATCCTACAGAATTCACTGGTTGTCCTTCAATTGTTATATGAATTTTTTAAAAAGGAGTTGCTGGTAGTATGTTGAGAGCCTTGAAGCATATAGTTAGAAATTGAAATTTTTGGCTCTTATTATTGAATTGATCTCCACTACTCTATAAATCTGAAATCTCATCAAACCTTAATAACTCAGCAAACTGAAAATTTTCATCCTAATTCAATGGCAACAACAAAAGCAGTAGAATGGGTGAAAAGACCACATGTGTAAATGGGAAAGTAATTTTTCAAACCTTCCTTTGTGGACTTTTGGTGTTTATGCAAATTTTTACCTTTTCTCAGTTTTTTGTTGTTGTCTTTTCTACCTCAAATTCCTGTTTGGTTAAAAATTTAAATGTTTTTTAAGTTGAATTTTATTTTCTTATATTATTGATAGTTGTGAGTTATTTTTGCTTCAATATGCTGAAGCAGGTAATTGGAAAAACCTTGTGTACAATGACATTTTCCCCTGTACCACTTTTCTTTTTCTTCTGACTTTATTAACTGTCTTTTTATTCCTCTGAGAAAGCTGCCTCACCTTTCAGTAAAACAAAGGTGATAATTAACTACTAGGGAAGGTGATAGGAAGGTTAATTTTCCTCAAGTACTTTCCTATAGAAAATTAACTATACTTAATAGATATGCCTTTTTATTGTAGATCATACATTTTGTCTCTTAATAATCCTTTGATGGACCTGACCTGCCTGTTGTCCCAGCTTTGTGCCGTTTACTTTTTCCATGTGATGTAGATATACTCTGCTCCATTCAAGTAGGCCTGGGCTTAATGTTTGGCACAACTTCATTCTTGTTCTTTTTAGTATTCAACCTTTATCTTTATCAAATTATTTCAATCCCAAAGCAGAGCAAGAGGAATAAGGAGGCAACTTGTGTAGCTGGAATCACATAGTTAACCAGTCTAAGAAGAGATCGTGTGACATAATGGTTAGAGAGGTGGCCTCAAAACTAGGAAGACAAGTTCAAGTTCTGATTCTGAACCTATACTGGCGGTATGACTCTGGGCAAGTCATTTATCCTCAGAGGGCCCCAGGCAATCCTTTAGAACTCTAAGTTGGAGAAAAGGAACTAACTTACTTTACCAGAGTGTTTTCTCACTGGGAGTTCTCTGTACCAATGGAAATCACTGATATAGCTACTATTCCTAAAGAAGGTTAAATGCCTGAAAACATAAATGATTCTAACTTATTTTTTTCATCCTCACTGGTCCTGGAGAAGAAGGAAGGATGCAGATTAAATATTGTCTTCATATAAAACTGTTTGGAGAGATATTCTGGTGTACGTATAGAGAGTAGAAGCCTGGTTGTGGAGCCAGGCAGATCTGGATTCAAAGTCTCCCTCTGACACTAGTCTGGGCAAATCAGTCAACTTCTCAGTGCTCCTAGGCAACCTACTAAGAAGTTACATATTAGAGTGGAATTGCTACATGAGTGAAAACAAGAAACTCAGGTTCAGGTATGATCATCTTAATTTTCCCATCTGTCTAATTTGCTACTTTGAAAGGCTTCTAAGGGGATCTAATTTACAAGTAGATTAGGAACTGGAAGGAAGGTGGCGTGGTGGATAGAGTACTGAACCTAGGAAGATCTGAGTTCAAATACCGCATCAGACATTTACTATCTTTATAACCTTACATAGGTCACTTAACCTATACCTGCCTCGGGTTCCTCATCTGTAAATTGGTGGAGCTAGGTGATGAAACAGATAAAGTGCCAGACCTGGATGCTAGGAAGACCTGAGTTCAAATCCAGTCTCAGACACTTACTAGCTTCGTGACCCTGGCCAAGACACTTAACCCTGTTTGCCTCAGTTCATTCATCTGTAAAATGAGCTGGAGAAGGAAATTGCAAACCTCTTCAGTATCTTTGCCAAGAAAACACCAAATGGGGTCATAAAGATTTGGCCGTAACTGAAAAACGACTAACAACAACAACGACAAATTAGGTATAATAAAAGCATCTGCCTCCCAGAATTGTTGTGAGGATCAGATCTGCAAGGTACTTTGCAAACCTGAAAGTGCTATAATAATCTCAAATGAAATATTTGAAACTTCTTAAAAGAAAAGCAGTATATGATCATAGGTTTATAGCTGGAAGGGACCTGAGAAGGCATTGAATGTAACTTTCTCATTTTGCAGATAAGAAAACTGATGCTCAGAGAATCACTCAGCTAATGGCTATTAGAGGCAAGACTGGCCTCCAAGTCCAGTTCCCTAACCACTGCTGCTTTTCATTAGAGAACATGGTTTATATAAATGTCAGCTCTTCCACAAACTTAGAGCCCCACAGAAAGTGAAGCTGTTGATTTGTGTCATAGGCACAGCTCATAAATTAAAAATAGCAATTCTAGGAGGCCAAAGCGTCTCATTTCTTGATATTTTTCTGAGAGAGTTTAGCAGAAAGATCATCATTTTCAGAGGCAGGAGAACTGTTTTCAGATCCCACCCTAGACATTTATTGGCCCTGTGACCATGGGAAATTCACTTAATCTCAGAATCTCAGTATTCTCTCATGGAATATGAGAGTGTTAATCCTAGCATTGCTTTCCTTGCTAGGCCATTTTGAGTAAATTGTGTATCTATCACCTATACTTCTAGGGTTTTGCATCCCAGCTCTGACAGTCCCTAATTGTATAGCCTTGTAGAACTCACTTTTTCTCTAAGCTTAAATTTTCTCATTTGGAAAATGATACATTCACTACCTACCTGAGATGGTGGTGAGAATTGAATGAGCTAATGTGAATATAGTTCATAACTTTGGAGTACTACATACATTGAGAAAGCTAGTATAACCTAAAACAATTTTTTATCTAATTTTAGGTAGTTAAGTATTTAGAATGGAGCTGCCCTGATGATAGCATTGTTGTCTACTTCAATTTGACTATGCTTGAAAGAATCCCTAATGACTCCTACAAAAAATCCTCTGTCCCAGGTCATCAAGGACTGAATACTTACCAGTTGTCCCCTAGTTTGACTAACCCAGAGCAGTCAGGAAGAAGTATCACTTCTAATATAGATGAAATCCTGTTTTAACAATTTCATTTAAGCATCCCATTGTTATGTGAAACTATTTCTATTTCCCACGTTACAAGTCCTAATGTAGGCCTCTAAATTGTTTTGCTGCCATGAAACAAGTAATTTTACAAGGAAAAAAATGATGTATGGCTGATGTGGGTACAAATCTGTCAGTTTAATAGTCAATCTATTTAAGGAAGATAGTGCCTGCCCCCAAAGGATTATGTGGTACCTGCATAATATCAAGAGACCTAGACAAGACTCCCAGAATGTTGGGTGGACACCTCTCTGAATAATTTATGAGCCAAAATAGATAAATGCTGCACCGTATAAGAGGGAATGAATGAGTTGCAATCAGCACCATTGGAGGGAATGCTGTTGATGCATATCCATTTAAGGCTTTTAGTGCTGCCCTTTCAGTATCTTTTTTTTTTTTGCCAGGCAATTGGGATTAAGTGACTTACCCAGGGTCACACAGCTAGTACGTGTCAAGGATCTGGTCTGAGACCAGATTTGAACTCAGGTCCTCCTGACTTCAGGGCCAGTGCTCTATCCACTACACCACCTAGCTGCCCCTCAATATCTTTTTAATAAAGCAAATGATAACTATAATTGATGAGTATATTAAAAAGAATACTTTCTAGTAGAACTAGAACTGCGTGTTGGTTGGGGGAATGTGATTGAGTTGTCCTCAACATGATTTGAGTAAGGTCTTCAATGAATGAATGGTCAAAATAGATAATCTGGGAGCAAATTAGTTCTTGAAGTGGGAATTGCAAAAGAAGAAAGAGAAAGAAGGTGCAGAAGTTAAGCATAAAAAGGATGCAGATTCAGAGGGGCTGATAAGAACATAGAGAAATATAAAGTGGGACCCACAAAATGGAGAGGAACTGTAAAATTATCAAGTGTCTATCCAGGGGTCAGCTGTAAAGACTGAGGAATGTGGGAGGAGGAATCCCAAAACTCATTTGAGAGTTGGGCTTCTGTTGACAGGTTAAACCATGTAAATTGGAGAATTTTAGGAAGAAATCTTGGAGGTGATCTAATCTACCCTCCTTCTTAGTGAAGAATCCTTTCTATAATTCAGTTTCAGTGAATAATTGTTAAGCATCTTCCTTGTGCAAGACCTTGTGTTAAGCACTAGAAGCACAAGGCTGAAGCATTTGTCCAACCTTCCAACAATTTT